GGGGTCGACGCCGAGGGGGGCGACCTGTGATTGGCCTCCCTTCTGTGCCCAGGCCTTGCAGAAGAAGCCTGCGCCAAGGCCCCACTCAATGGCCCTGCCCGGGGCGGTGGCCAGAGGCACCTGCCTGAACCTCCTTCAGTCTCGCCCCCCGCAGCTGCAGCGCGACCTGGCCGTCCTCGGAGTCGCCGCCAAGCAACCTCAGGACCCGACCGATTCCAGACCCCGTTCGCCGCCAGGTCCGCCGACTCGTCGGATGCGCCCAGCCCGCTCAGGCCCAGGTCGTGCATGTGCAGTGGAGACCTCGGCCCCGGTAGCCTGCGACCCGAAGTCGGCTGTGACGTTGCGGTACGTCCGGAAGAAGTGCCCGATCGCGGAGAACTTGTACTTGCACTCGAAGTAGTGGAGGACCCGGAACAGGCGCCGAACCAGCCGTGGGCGGGATGGCGATTTCTGAGCCAGTTGGTGAAGACCATGTTGTCGGTGGCTAGCAGCACGACGCGGCCCTCCCAGCAGGGCCACTACTTGCGTGCCAAGACAACGCGCGCCATGGCCTCGCCCAGCGCGGTCTCCACATTAGGGTCGTCGGCGTCGCCCATGGCCTCTGCGAGGACCCCCTTGTAGGCACCGAGGTCCTGCCTCAGGTAGACCGGCCCCGAGCGCGATGGAGGTCGTGGCGTCGGTGGTCACCCGCGCAGCCTTGGCCGCGTCCCCCAGGGGCCAGCCGCTCGCGGACGTCCAGGACTTGCACATGGAGGTCGTGAAGCGGGCTGCCCAGACTTCTGGCCTGGCCATGAGGAGCCTCAGGAGCTCGCGCGTGTCCCAGAGGTTCTGCCATGCCGTCTCCTCCTCGCCTGCCTCGACCTTGGGCTTGAGGCCCCCGGCCGCGGTGGGGGCTGAGGAACACATCAACCGACCGCAGCTCCGTGGAGAGGGCCGGCATGGCGGCCACCCAGCTCGTCCCCGTGCCCCGCAAGACCTGCATGTCACGCAGGCGCGCGCCCTTGCAGCCGCTGTCGTAGCAGGCGTCACTGCGGAGGCAGGCTTCTTTGCGGAGCCTGGGTTCGGGGATGGCCACCTGCGTCTCCTCGGTCCAGTACTCGAGCCCCCAGGCGATCTTGCGCGTGGCGCAGTAGCCCTCCTGCTGCTTCTGCTCCGGTCTGACTGCCGCGGGGCCGAGCAGGCGCCCGATGGCGTGCTCCGCGGGGGATGGCGAGATCCATGGGCGCATGCTCAGAGCGGGCTCCGCCAGCACCAGGTCGTCCATCATAATGTTTGGACTGGCAGCGGTAGGGGCCCTCGGCGGAGGCGTCGGCCGGTGCGCGTCGGCTGTGCACCGCGGCCACGCTGTCGCCTCAGGGGGCGCGCTTCCCCAGGCCCCCGGCCCAGCCGAAGGTCAGGGCGAGGGATCCATGCGCCAGGCCCCCCCCTCAAAGCCCATCTCCGCGCAGCGCCGCACGTGCGCGGTGTTGTCGCCCTCCCCCTTTTGACTCGCACGGCCGTTGGGCTGGGGCCCCTCAAAGCCCATCTCCGCGCAGCGCCGCGCGTGCGCGGTGTGGTCGCCCTCCCCCCTTTGACTCGCACGGCCGTTGGGCTGGCTCCCGCGGGCGGGGGTGCGCAGGCGCTCGAGGGAGATCCGCGGCGAACGTGCCGACGTCTGCTGGGTCGACCCAGAGCAGCTCGAAGGCGCCCTTCACGTCGAGCTTCGAGAGGAGGATGGGGATCTTCGGGAGCTTCACCGACCACCAGACGATTGGCCTCGCGAGCTGGCGGTGGAAGGGCAGCGCTGCCGGGGGGGGCATGTCTTGTCCGTGGTCTCGTTGACTCGGCGGTGGTCGTGGATCAGCCTCTTCTCGGGTGCAATCGTGCGATCGGGGTTCTGCTTGGACACGGCCCCCTGCGGAGACGACCTGACCTCGCCCAGGAGGCCCCTGCGCCTCTTGGGGGCGACGCGGACGTGGCCTGCGTGGACGTCCTTCCAGGAGCCCTCGTAGCACTGGTCGAGCACGTCGGCCGCGCTCTGGCGGGGCTTGCACTCCTCGCGGACCTCGGCCCCCACATCCCTGGCCGCTACGCCCCGCCGGGCCTGATCCCGCAGGTTGAGGAGCATGTTCGGGTGGCCAGGTCTAGGCCCAACTCCTTGCGCGCCCCGAGAAGGCCCGCGCGCTGCCCCCCACTCCGCCCGCTGTCTCGACGAGGGCCTCCCCTCTAGCAGCAGCGCCTCTCCAGGTCTCCTCGGCCCCAGAGGGCTGCCCCCGGACGTAGGCAACGTAGTGCCGCGCATGACGAGCTCGTGGTGGCCGTTGGGGTCGCCAGCCCGCCTCTCTTTGCGCATTTTCTCCTGTGCCACGCCGCCTTGCTGCTGAACGGGATCCGCCGATGAAAGAAAGCAGGGGGGGGGGGCCTCCCTGCCTGCTACTATCCGACCCCGGTCCCCCGCCTCCTCCTCCACGACGGTCGGGCGTGGACCCGCCCACGCTGCCCCTCCAGCAGCGGCTCGCTCTCCGCCCGTCGCGCCGGCAGCGGCCCACGGGCCCGCGGCGCTCAGGGGGCCCGCGGGCGCCGCATCCGACAGCCCCATCACCTCACCAGCAGCGGCAGCTCCAGCATCAGCAAAACCTGGCGACCGACCTACCCCTCTCGCCGCTCACTTCGAGGGCACACCTGGCGGCGGGCCCAGCAGAACAAGTGGCGACGGAGCCCGACCCCGCGAGCTGTTTGCCCAGGGGGTGCACCAGGGGGCTGGGCCTTGCGCCCTAACGCTCGCAGCGTCCTGATCCGCGTCGGCGCGGGGCCCTGGCGAGAGCCGCATTGGGATCAGCGGTTCGCGCGAGGTTGGGCCGATCCCCCTCGCGGATTGACCCGCGGCGCCCACGCCTCCACGCAACAAATCGCGGTTCCTCTCCGCGACCTCCTCCGCCTGCTCCGCATCCGCGATCCTGGGCGCGACGCCGGGGGCGCCCTCGTAGTCGCCAGCCGCTCGCCCGCGCTCCGCGTCGGAGCAGGGCCTTGGCGAGAGCCGCTTGGGGATCAGCGGTTCGCACGAGGTCAGGCCGATCTCGCTCGCGGATCGACCCGCGGCGCCCACGCCTCCACGCAGTGGGTCGTCGTCCAGCCCCGAGACCTCCATCGCCTGCTCCACCTCCGTGATCCTGGGCACAATGTCGGGGAAGCCCTCGCAGTTGCCCGCGGCCCGCCCGCGTGCCGGCACCGCGACCGCCAAGATGCCCTGGGCGGGGTTCTCAACGAACGTCCAGGGGTCGACCTGCGAAGCCCTGCAGCGGCGGCGGCTGGTGCCCGGCCCTCGAGCGAGACACGCTTGTGCTGGCCTCCGCAGCGTTTGGCGATCCAGCGGGTCAACTGCTTCGATGCCCTGGCCACTATCCAGGTGCGCCTGCGGCAGCGTGCCCCGTCGCCCCCCCTAGGACCGCGGCCGTGCTCGCAGAAATCGAAGGGGGCGATCATCGCGCCCTTGCGGCGAAGGGGTGTGCGCCATCATTTGGTATTTTAGATGGCGGGGTAGATGCCGTCGAGCGCAGGGTTCCCCGCCCGTGCAAACTTGCCGGCGTCGAGGGCGCGCTTGAAGACCCTCGCGGGGAACTCTGCGATGTCGTTGCCCGCCCTCTCCGAGGGCAAGAGCGGCCCCGGGCCCTCGGGGCGCGCCGTCGCGCGCGCCCCGCCGTTGCAGCGCATCCAGGAGCAGAAGCTGGCGCAGACCGGCTCGAGCCCGATGACGTTGACATCGCTCTCGTCGATGTCCCGCAGGATGCGGCGCTGCACGTCCTCGCCCCTCACGTTGTGGTCCCCCCCAGGGCCGGCGCGCTCCAGCGGGTCCTGGCAGTGCTCGATGGGCCCCTGAGCGGCAAGACCGTGGGATCTCCAACACTGGGTCCAGCGGCCCGAGCCTGCCATGATCTCCAGCGCGACGAGCCGCTCCCCGGGGGCGGTCACCGCGTCGGACGTCGGGGGTGTCCTGTTTGGGGCAGTGGTAGTGGCCCCGGGCCTGGGTCCCACCCCGCGATGGTCAGGGCGGTGTCTTCGCCGTAGGCTGGTGGAGGGTCGATGGGCGTGACGTCGCCGGCAACTCGCCCGCCGTCTTGCTGCTTGTTCCGCACGCACTTGCAGCGCAGGCAGGTCCTCGGCTGGGAGGTGAACGCTTCGGGCGCCCACTCCTTCGCAAGGTCGAGCAGGACTTCCGAGCCGAGCGTCACGTAGTCGCACGGGGGGCTGCCGCCCCAACTTCTGGCGCGCTGCGCGAAGTTGGCCAGCGGCTTGTCGATCTCCAGGCCCACTCGGAACAGCCCCATGCGCCTCTGGTGGATCAGCAACCAGCATTGCTTCGCGCGCGGGCCCGCAGCGGACCCCGAGACGCTCTCGAAGTTGACGCGCCCCAGCGAGTCGACGCGGACGAAGTTGAGGGCCGCGCTGCGATCGGCTCCGATAGTCCATGTTGTGGTCCAGGCACAGCACGTCGTGGATGTACCCGCGCACCTCGCGCTCAGCACGGTTGATCTTCTCGGGCGCCTCCCCGAGGGCCCTTGTGGCTTCGGAGGCTACTGCGCGCAACTCCTCGCGCAGCTCTGAGGCGAGGGGGCGCGCCGCCTCTGGGCTGGGGGGCCACTCCTGGCCCTCGGCCCCGCCCTCGGGGGGATCCTGCGCCAGGAGGCCCGCGGCCGCGTGGATCAGCATGCACCAGCGCTCCTCCGGCTTGTCCCCGGCCAGCTGCAGCGCCCCACGCAGGCCGGGCGAAGGCCGAACGGTGTCCCGCTAGTCGTGCGTACATCGAGGACCTGCTCGCGACGGAGGTTGGCGAGCTGGTCGCACGCAGGCGCTCCGTGCTGCTCGGGGCGAGGCGCGTGGGCGACGAGCAGCAGGCGTGGACGTTCGATGCGCTCGACCTCGAGCGCCCTATTGCCCCGGCGGTCGGCCCCATCCTGCAGCGCCCATGCGCGCTGCCTCGCGACGTCTGGCTGCTGGGGGATCGCTTCGAGGCCGACCCGCGAATGCGACGGGCTGGCGAGCGCCTCCTACCCGTCGGCATCGGCCACCCGTGGACCACGGAGGGCAGGGGGGTCGTCCACACCGCGGGCGGCCCGCTGCCGACCCCCCCCCGACTGGGGGAGGCAGCCGCCGCCCCTGATGCGCGACTTCAAGGGCCCGGGTCGCGGGGTGAGGCGCGTCACCCTCCCTTGAGGAGGCTTGGCTCGGGGTCGGCGGCGCGCTCGAGGACCTGCCCGACAGCCGAGACGAGCAGGCCGCCGAGCGCGTCGCGATGGTGGTGGCGGGGGACACCGGCGCCAGGCTGGCAGGGGCGGTGGCCCTCTGGGCCGGCGCAGCCCTCGACTGGGAGGCAGACGCGGGCGCCTGCAGCGACCGCGACGCCGAGGCCAGGGAGAAGGGCATGCAGGAGGTTTTGCTCCCAGGGCGGGCCCCGCCCACCGAGCCCGCGAGCGCCCGGTCCGCGGGAGGGCCCCTCGACCGCGACGGAAGGGAGTGCCGCCCAGTCCCCGGCAGCGCCTTGGGAGCGAAGTCTGTCTGGGGCGGCATTGACGCTCGGGCCCTGGCCCTGGGCGCCGGCAGTATCTGGTAAGGCCCAGGCGGCAGCCCCCCGGGTCATGGCGCTCCCCGCGAGGCAGGGAAGCACGAGCTGCCGGCGGTCTCCCAGCCCCCGCGGAAGGCCATGGTGCCGCAGCGCGGCCTGGTCGTGATCTCCGTCCCCGAGAAGCTCGCCAACCTGGGGCCCGACGTCCAGGTCCTCGGCGAGCTCCAGGAGTGGATTCACAGCAAGCTCGCGGGCTGGCTGGCCCACAGCGCGCGTGCCAACTACGGCGAGGCGTGGTCCAAGTCGCTGTGGTGGTGCGCTAGGCGTGGTATTCCCCCGCTCCTCTCGGGCGAGAGGAAGCGACAGGTGAACGAGGGCGAGGAGGTACTGCTGCGCTTCACGGGCTACCTCGGCTGGCCGGGCAAGGGCAACAGCGCCCTCCTCAGCGCCCTCTTTGCGTTCCAGGGCGGCCGCGTGCTCGCGGGGGGCGGCGGCCCGCTCGCTTGTCAAGAAGCTCATCGCGGTCCTCATCGACTCACTGCAGAAGGCCCGAAGGAGGAACGCAAGCTCGGCGCTGCCCCACGCGTGATGGCGCGGCTGAAGGGCGAGCTGGCACCGGCACCGCCGAAGGGGCCCAGAGGCACCACGCGCGGCGACGAGGCCTCCGACGCGGTGGTCTTCTGGGCAACTCTCACGACGGGCTTCTTCTACCTCTTTCCGGCCAAGGAGATCGCCGACGGCGGCGGCGTCGACGAGCAGATGTGCCTCCGCGGGGTGGGCGTGGCACTCCACGACGAGGGTGGCGGCTCAGCCCCACGTGGGCTGGGCAAGGCGGCGAGAGCGCTGGTCACATTCCGGAAGGCGACGACCGTCCAGAGGGCCTTCGGCGCGTGCAGGGTGCATCACCGGGCCAACGTCGAGGTGTGCCCGGTGGCGGCGTTGGAGCTCCGGAGGGGGCTCGCGCCGGAGCGCTTCGCCGAGAGCGCGGAGGGGCGTCGACACCTCTTCCGCTGGAGCAGCGGGGAGGTGGTCAAGAGGGAGCAGCTGCAGGCGGCGCTGCAGCGTGCGGCGGCCGCCGAGGCCCCCCCCCCACGGCGCTCCGAGTCGCGCGGCCTCCGCGTCGGGGGCGCGCCGGCGCGGCGCCGCGCACTGGGCGACGCCGTGGCGGTGATGCGCTGGGGTCGCTGGAGCAGCGCGGCGTTCCACGGCTACCACTGCGATTCGGAGGAGCAGAGCTGGGGCGTGGCGGCGACCGTGGCACGGGGCGTCGCCACGCCCCGCGCAGCGTGAGCGGCGACGACGACGGCGCGCCGGGACGGCTGTCAGGCAGCCCTGACCCGCGCCGCCCGGCGGGGCCCACCAGCGCCAGCAGCGGGGGCGCTGCGGCCTGAGCTCCGAGGAGTCCGGCAGGCGGGCGAGGCTGCACATCGAATGAATGCGGCCCCCTCGCTGCTAAAAGAAGAGAGGTGGTCCCTCCCCTCCCTCTCTTTTCTCTCGTGGCCTCTCGGGGCCCCCTCTCCTCGTCGGGCCCAGGGCCCGGGCCCCTCTGGGGCCCTCTTCCCTTCTGCCTCCTCCTTAGTGGGGCCTTCCGCTTGCCTTGTTTGAAGGCTTCGCCGTGCCGCCGGTCCAGCTCAAGGCCTAGGGTGATATATGCGTGTATATATCGTTTGATTCCCTACCTAGGCCCTAGGCTCTGCCTAGAGGGTTCCTACTCTGTTTGCTTAACGGGGCCGGGCAGTGGGGCTCGCCCCGGGCGGTTCCCCCAGTTGCGCCCCCTGGGTTTCCCCAGTTTAGCTTAGCTTAGCCTAGCTTAGCTTAGCTTAGCTTAGCTCAGCTTAGATTATCTCATCTTAGCTTAGCTTAACTTATCTTAGCTTAGCTTAGCGTAGCTTAGCTTAGCTTAGTTTAGCTTAGTTTAGCTTAGCTTAACCTATATCATTTTAGCTTAGCTGAGCTTATAGCTTAGCGCAGCTTAGCTTAGCCCATCTCATCTTAGCTTAGCTTAACTTAGCTTCTTCCTTCCTTCCTCAGGATGCCTCTGTGTTTTGGGCCTCGGCGTCTGTTTTCCTCTCTTGAGGTTTGGGGGGATGGGCCCCCTTCTCTCCCCATGCCTCCTGTCGGCTCCTGCAGTCTCGGGCTCAAGCTTTCGGTGTGTTACATCCCACGGCTTCGGACCCTCACGTTATCTTTCAGGGGAAGCTTTGCAGGTCTAAACGCAAAGTCTGCCTCCTGTCTAAACGAGATCTTGAGGCACTTTCATACTGCTCTACGCTGCTATTCCAAAGGGTGGTCAAGTTGCCGGCTCGGTTTCTTATACCGTCGGGCCTTGGTGGTCCTCATTTCACATATGACTGGTGCAAAATCCCGCTTTTCAGAGCTTGTCGGGACAGCGGCTATAATGGTCTGTATGTCAACGTTCGGGGTCCCGATGAAAGGGTTCGTAGAGTTCCTTGGAAAGAATTGGTTGCTGGTCAGTAGCCGTTTCGCCTCAAATCCTGACGGGAGCTCTTGTCTGAGACGGCTGGGAAACATCCAACTCCAGGGGATGGCTAAACGCAGCCTCCCAGTCAAGCTCGCCGCCAAGAAGCGTCTCAAGTGGACACACGGATCGGGCGGAATGTGGAACTACTGTGAAGAGGACAAAGTCTACACCAAAGTATGGTATACGGAGTACTTTGACACGTGGTTCGATCCAGATTCGGGCTGGCCTCACCCAGTTGTATGGTACCTGTCCGACTACTGGTGGGACGGAGATTTCTTCGTGGAAAAGTGGCGTTGGAAGTACCCGTGAAGGCCATTCCTGGGACTCCCTCAGACTGAATCTCCTGGCGTCTGCGGTGCATGGGCCTGCGGCTTTTGGAGGACTCTCAGTCTCTCTCAATCTCTCTTGCATGTACTTCTACGATGTTGGTTGGCAAAATACAAAAGGTTATAAACATTTCCAGCCATCTTGCGTTCACCATACCTGTTTGAATTCAACCATATTCCATATTTCTTGACATGCCTGGTGTGGGTTCTCACGGTTGGGATCTCATTCTGCATTGACAGTTCATCTTGTATGTCTCCGTATCTTCTGGGTTCATTGCGTGCTTGGGACATTCAGTTTATCTTTCAGATTCTCTTTCAGTACATATATCCGTCTTGACTGCTACTCATGTTCAATGAGTTTCATGGGACTTAATGGAAGTTTTCTGCACTTCTTACTTACTTGAGACCTTGGGACCATGTGCTCTCAAGGTTGGCTCCAATTGTTACTCAAGACCTTGTTAATCAATTTGGGCAACTCTTTCATTATCTTACATTATGTTTCTCATGTTTCTCATCTTCATTCAACACAAGAGAGACCTTGTGGTGGGATTCATTTGGGATATTGGACAGTCTGTCATTCATAATGTCTTTCAGTATCATGGGTTTCAATCCTGGGCTGGGCTTCACCTTTCCTTTGCTTCTTTCCTCTCCCGCCTCTCCTCCCGTTTCCCTCTTTCTCTACCGTGCGCACTTGGCGTATTGGTGGCTTCTCAGGTTTGTGTTTTGGGAGGACCGACCTTTCAAGGCGCTTCATCATCATCATCATTAACTTAGCTTAACTTAGCTTAGCTGATCTCAGCTTAGCTCAACTTAGCGCAGCGCAGCATTAACATAACACAGCACACCATAACATAACATAGCATAGCATAGCGCAGCATAGCCTGCAACCTGCAGCCTGCAGCGGCACAGCCTGCAGCGGCATCATGGGTCGGCACTACAACAACTTTCACAGCAGTAGAGGCAGCGGCTCATTCTTCGTAGCGGCGGGGCTGCATATCCACGGTGCTGCATAGCCCGTGGTGTCTCGCTAACCGTCCCTCGTTAGCATCCAACAGGTAGACGTAGTTGCTCCCCGCTGGCACACGCTTCCTAGGACCAGGAAGGCGTGGCCAAAACCAAAGATGTGCTTCGTTCCGCATCCCCGCCAGCCCCCCATCCGATCGTACATATGTACTTATGCAAATGTATTCAGATATTTGCACACACTAATACTAATACGCGCACATGTATATACATACGCACACATATATACACACACATATATATGTATATATATATATATACACGCAGAACCCGACCATCACATCAACACAACAACACATCAACAGCAACAGCAAACCAAAACTGCATCAGTTCAAAAGCAAAAAACACAACAATCACAAACACAAGCGCAAAGGCAACTACAGCAGCAACGGCAACAGCAATAGCAAAGGCAACTACGACGATGAGGAGAAGGAAGAGGACGGCGTTTACCGTTACTACTAATGCTGCTTTCCTAGGGGCTCCAACTCTTAGGTGGGGTCGCACTGGGATAATTTCAAGCTTTGGGAGCCGCCACAATAATGTGAGGTTTGTAAACTCGTTTGCTAAACCGTGTTTTTTAGGTGGCTGGGAGAAACGCAGAGGGGCTGCTGTTGCCACCGGCTATTTCTATGGGCTGCACCCCTTGTTTGGCCCTTCTCTTGCAATGCCCACCCAACCCACCTTTTTTGGACGCCCGCCCAAAGGTGCGGGCGGGCTGGCAGACGAGATTGCACATCGAATGGATGCGCCCCCCTCGCTGTTAAACGAAGAGCGGTGGTCCCTCCACTCCCTCTCCTTTCTCCCTTGGCCTCTCGGGCCTCGTCTTCTCGTCGGAGTTTTGGGGACCGCTTCAATAACAAGATGGGGACGTGGTTGAGGAGGAGGAGGAGGAGGAGGAGGAGGAGGAGGAGGA